ATAAAATATTTTATTACTAGTAGTAATATCATCAAATCTAATACCATATTTATAGTATTTTGCACTTGTGTATAAAGTTAAAATCATAAATAATATTCAACATTAAACTGGTACACAATTAAAAACATTTTATTTAGGACTATTTATGGCCTTCAAAAAGTTGACGACGCTACATGTTTCGATGTTACAACGTCATCCTCAGGAGTGAATTACAAGACAATTGCTAAAGTATTTATAACTTGTTAGTAGGTCATTGACCTGTATTTTATTTTTCATACATTCACACTAAACCATTCAAAGGAGATCAATCCACTCTCTTGCAGAAATATTCGCCAAACCTTCATCTCTATTTAATACGACATGATACCATATTATTCAGTCTGAATGTTGAGTTCTTGTACCCGTCAATCCTTATTCATGTAAGGGACAATTTACTCATGGAATTTGTAGAGAATCAAATATACAGTGTATATATTGATCTTATTGGTTAGTAAGATTAATTTTACAACTAATGAAGATAAATTTGACATGCAAGAACTTGTATACAGATTAGACATTAATAAAGGTCCAAAAAAGTTGTTGATAAGACTTTATGAAACAATAAATGCAGAGCCCACAGTAACAATGCATAAACACTACCGTGCTAAAAATAGCAGTTTAGTAAAAATTTTGTTGTACCCTACATTAGTCCTAAAATTTCAGATCATATTAGACAGGCATGCTGACAATCAGGTCTTGAGATCAGAGTTACAGAGAAACCAGATAGAACTTTGAAAAATATGTTAGTAAGATCAGCCTTTAAATCCAAAACATGCAGTAAACCCACAGACAAATGTGTTGATTGGAAATCAAATTTAAGAGGAGACTGTAGTCACAAGAATGTAGTATCAGGCAGGTGGTAGCACTGCCTATGAAGGGTTGGCTCTGATTGTTCATTGAAATGGTATTTTAAATATCTCCTCAATAGGTCATCAGAACTTTACAATACTGTACAGTGTTTCCTTTTATAATAGTTTCTATGTAATGATTGAATCACAAGTTCTAGGAATGTCTATAAATATCACAGCAAAAAGTTTGAATTTCTTGTTCTTCTTTCTACTGCTTCTTTTTAATTACATGATAACTCAAAAACCAAAACAATGGTGTCAACTAAATTCACTGAGGTGACATAGTATCAAATGGAGTATCAGCTTTTACAAGTATTATTAACTAGTATTTATTAAAAACAACATAATTTTATTGTAAATGATATTATCATTACCCCTTGAAGTTAGCTTTCTTACAGAAATTTGGTGTTCCTTTAAAATGCTTAAGTACAGGATGAACCAGTAATTACCAGCCAATAATAGATAAACAATAAATATTACAGTTGGAACCTCATTGTATTTAAAACTTGGCTATAAATACAACCTTCCTATGTCTATTGTAACACTGCATTAAAAAAACAAGCAAATTGTGCTATTAATGTAAGAATTAACATATAGCAATGTATATAACTATTCAGTCACAATTGAGTTTAATTTATCCTATTTTTGTTTGTTATCATTCTATTACACTGTGTACCTGTGCTATTATGTAGGGACAATGCAAATGCCATCCCTACTATCTTGTTTGCATTGTTTTTGAAGGATTGATATTAGCCATCCCTATGTTTACTTCCTTTTGTGAAAAGTTTTTTTTTTTTACTTGTATAGTTTGACATGCACACTTTGTGGTTCTATATACATTGGCAGGGCTCAAGCTTAACTTTTTTTTTGAGAATTTGCCGGGCACCTAAAAAAAGCCTTTTTTGGAGCCCGCCAGCCGTTTTTGGGGCCAAATCCATTACCCCTTTGAA